AAAATATGAACACAATAAATCATTCTTTCCAAGTTGGCTTATGAGTACTAATAAAAACAAGAGAAGAGGAATACTATTTTGTAGGCTGAAAAATAAATAGGTTATATCCCTGATTCAGTCCCTGAACTTTCATTTTTGGACTAAAAATACCCTCGAACTAAAAAAAGTACTAAAAAAATCCCTAAACTTCAATTTTTGGAACCATTTTGGTCCTTCCGTCGACGGATGTGCCAGATGGCACGTTAAATTGCCACGAAATCAATTATTGTTTGAAATATTTAATTACATGAAAAATAACTTATTATCCACGTCATTTTAATTAATTTATATATTACAAAATTTAAAATTTCTTAAATACCCCCAATCAACACCGATTATCCCTCATTACTCCCGATCATCTCTTTCTACTCCAATCACCATCTCCTTCCTCCCCAAACCTCCCAAACCTCCTCTCTGAAACCCAAATCTGTAAACTTATATCAAATTTATAAAAATTCAACAAATTAATCATATTGCAAACTTATACCAAATCTGTAACAGAAAAGAAAAATGCAAAAAACGCAAAAAAACGCAACAGCCCTTCAATCAACACCAACCGTAACTGAACCTTGAAATTCAAGCAAGCAGAACCCATATCAAAACTCTAAATCCATACCAAGATAGTCAAGCATCACTGCAGCCAACAAAGAAACAGAAGAACAAAGAAACATAAGAAAAACCTAAGCGTGTTCGACTCGAACCCGCGCCTAGGTTCCTTCAAACCTAGCGCCTGGGTTCGATGGAACCCAGGCGTGGGTTCGATCGAACCCGCGCCTGGGTTCTCGAACCCAAGCCTTGGGTTCCTTCAAACCCAGGCGCGGGGTTCCTTCGAACCCAAGCCCTGGGTTCGAAGGGAAGGAGAAAAAGAAGGGAAAAAAGAAGATAAGGGTATTTTGGTAACTTCAAAAAACTATAAAAAATTAAAGATAAGGGATAATTGTGTAATTTTAAGGATAAAATGCCAACTCATACACTTTTACACGTAGTTTTTCCATGTCATTAGTTGAAAAAAAAAAGCTTGATTTCGTGGCAACTTAACGTGCCATCTGGCACTTCTGTCGACGGAAGGACCAAAATGGTTCCAAAAATTGAAGTTTAGGGATTTTTTTAGTACTTTTTTTAGTTCGAGGATATTTTTAATCCAAAAATGAAAGTTCAGGGACTGAATCGGGGATATAACCAAATAAATATGAACCAAAATATAATATTGTATTCAACAAATAGATAACATGCAGAACCACGAGAAAAGAGCAATTAGAAAAGTATTTTTCTTAACATGAAAGAGCAAATAAAATTGCCTTTACCATAATAGGATTTTATAACAAGATTCTGTAACACTAATCAATAAAAAGGACATAATCTCCCATCAAAATATTTACCAGTTTCCTTTTATAAGAATGAATCCATACATATAACCAGTATTAGCATTGTGTCAGTCCCAGAATTAGTTTGAGTATGCAAGGACAATAATAGCATCTGAAGGAAAAGGAAAGTAGTAGTAGTAGAAGAAGAAAGCAGGTGTAAGAACAAAGGGGACTTTATTTCGACCTAATAAAAAACTGAGGACAAGATCAAGAGAAGGGGACAAGGAGTGCATAAATTCACTCTTTCTTCTATCTACCTTCTATTACATAGAATATATACACGAGAGAGGTTAAAAAGAACAATTTCTTTCTTTACTCTACCAAAATTGAGCTCCCAAGATGACGAAGCAAAATCCAGCAGTGTCATATTGCGCTCAAGGCTGCTACAATGACTTAGAAGATCACGTCCATGAGGAGAGATGAGAATTCAGGGAGCAAACTATGTTGGATGGGCAGAAATTGTTAAGTCTACCAATTGTGCAACTGAGCGGTAATGCTTTTCATCACGGGGTGGTATTCTGTGTGCATGTGTTTTTTAGCTTTATCTGAACCAGGTTGTTCAAGCCACTCATCATATAAGCGTTTTACTATGGGGTTATCGAAGGGATCAGCTTCCAAAACCTGTCAAGACATTACGAGTAAAGTTACCAAAGCAAAGAGACATATAGTCCATCTCTATGCACCACAGCAAATCCAGCACAATTCCCTCCTATAATAAATTCATAACTCAAAGAGAAACTCACATTTTCCATGTAGATGGCTTCTAATGACTTGATCAACTCCTTTGGGGATTGCCCAGGCTTTGGCTTGATTTGACCTCCACCATTCAAGCAACCTGCTTATTCAAAATATTTAACTGCTATTATCCACCTTAAATTTCCAGTTTTGTAGTAGGAAAACTTAACACCAAACAATGGATCCCAAAAGAAATGAAGACAAGGAAACAAAACCTGAAGGGCATGCCATAACCTCCACAAAATGATAATCGCATTTCCCCATTTTAACTTTCCTCACAATGTTTTGTAGGTTCTGGAAGCCATAACATAGTGCGAATTTCAACACAACTTTAGCTTCCACCTGTTACGTTTTCATGGTAGACAATGTTAAGGGCATAGAAAAATGCAGATACAAGTCGATTCTATGATTTTCAAACAGCACGCCAAGAACCTAAGTGACCTAGTGGTAATCTTCTTCCAGTGGAAGAGGTCCTGGGTTTGAGTTGTATACATGCAAGCAAGGTGGGCAAAGGGATGGGAGACGGTTGCATTGCTTAAAACCTCCCTATAGGCCTACAGAATAATAACAATTTTGAAAAGAGTAACTTACTTCCAGAGTCAATTCTCGGAAATCTGCATTTCTTATGATTCTGTAGTCCAATGGGCCCTTAATTTCTCTTCCAAAGAGGACTTTAGCAGCATATTGAAAAATTGTTGCCGCATAACCTCCAGAGCTTCCAGGGACCCCATAAAGACGCCCTTCAGAAACATTTGTCAAACTGCACAGTAGTTACAGTATTTTTCATTTGTAACTTAGAAACATGGCACTTGAATAAGGTAGGATTAACCAGGATTAGTGGTTCTTACATTTTATCTAGAGGTGACTCTTCTAAAGCTTTTAAATCAACTTGTTTCAACTGCAAAATTAGGATAAAATAAAAATTTGCATTGTCACCATCGATTCAAAATCATTTAGGGCATAAATTAGGGGCACAAAGAAAATGCTAAAATGAAGAAACATTCGTCTCACCTGCATCAAATCTAAGACTTCTCCAGACGTCAAGACAGAGTCTACCTCTGTAATCCTGGCACCTCCATTTGTATTGATTTCATCTTGAGATTCTACTTGAAAAACAAAGTCCTCCCTAGCAGCCTCAAGCTTCTTATCATAACAAGGCATCACAGTGACATGGTAAACCTCCTCTGGCCTATCAAATAAAATAAACAATGAAGTTACTGAAGAATACCTTAATTCCTTATAACATACAATTTTAGAATTGCCTATTCCTTCTAATGTTTAGGAATGTAAGATGCACAAATAAAAGGCTCTGTATACTGGTCACCAAAATCTGAACAGGTGAATAAGTAGGTCAATGATGAAAAACTACTGGTTAATTGTGTTTAGATTTCAGATGAAATGAAACAGGGGAAAGCGGAGGGACTGGAGGAGAGGCATTTAACAAGAATATGGGAAATAACTTTAGCAGCAATACCAAGTATTTTGTAAGTTGATTGTTACATGTTTATTGATTTATTTTTTCTCTCTTCTTCCTTTATTTAGAGTATTAAATGAAAAATACAAGTACCATTTCCAGTGTCTAACACCAAAATATGGCTCCCAGTCCCAGTCCCAGATTAGTATGAATTACACAGACAATAAACCTTAAATATGCTTACAATAATAATCAAATGACAGCTCAAGATAGATAATTATATTTTGAATGGATGCTTTACCTGAATCCCATTGTTTGGCATATATGGCGCTTAAGGATAGCTCCAATTGTTTGCTGAGGACTCTTCACAGAAGATATGTAAGGCAGAATGAAAGATCCAAGTTGTTTTTCAGCATAACATATCCAACCTGCAATTAAAGAAAGATACATAAAAGGCACTTTTTTATCAACAAGAATCTTTTATTATTAATGCCATCAAGCAATCACCAACAAACCATTGATTCTCACTATACGCATGCTGCATAGGTTCAGCATATCTTTGGCTTTGCAGGAAAATATTGCAACAGTATCTGAATGCTCACACATACATTTAACAGGAAAATAGGTATACCTGGACATGCAGATGAGAGCATTGGCAGTGAGGATTTTCTTTTCTCATCATCAGATGCTTGGCTTTCTCTGTATCGAGTAATGAACTCATTACAAGCTTCAATGAGGGCTAAATCTCTGCTGCAACTAGTATCAAAGACAGCCTTTACCCCCAAGGACTTCAAAAAAGTTGTCAGTTTTGTAAAAACCTGACCAGAAAGAACTGCCATCATTTGCAGGCAAATGCTGACTTGAATAACAAGTACCCATCTTCTTGCATATACTCTAATATATCATGAATATTATTTCATAAAGTTCATCTTCAAATAAAGAATAATGAACAAAATGTTCTACTTACCTGCAGCGGAGGGATGCCAAAATGAATAGCAAGGGAGGCTCTTGACTGTGGAGACAGAGAGACAATGACAGCTCTCCCTTTATTAATATTAGAAAGAAATTCATCTAAGCTTTGCTTCTCAAGCATCACAGTCTCTGCTGATGTAATGCACCCACTGCATAGCCACAAAGAAATAGTAAATTCTATGCCTTCGATACAAACAATAGACTAAAACAGCTTGCGCCAAGAAAAATACCAGAGTTGTAAATATTTTACTCCAATTTTTTTTTTTCAGCGCCTTTAACATATACAGTAAAGAACAATTACAACAATGAAACTTCATATTTTTCTCCATTTCATTCAAAACCAATTTATTTAAATTTTCAATTGTCCTTAAAAAGGAAAATTATACTTCCACGGCTTTGCATAAGCCAAATTTAAGCTATTACACAGAAAGCAGAGTAATAAATAAACACAACAATTTTAAGTAGGAACAAACGGAGATAAATCTATCACCTGCATGCCAAACAATCCTTAAGTGAAATTTTCACTGGTTCAGTTTGCTGATTGCTAGTTGTTGAAACCTTTCGCCAAAAAAAAAAAAAAAAAAAAAATCAAACATAAGAAATGAGTACATTCAAAATTAGCCTTTCATCCTTAATTTCAAGCTAAACCACCCCATGACAATACCATTACTTAAGATCAAACATCTAAAACAAAAAAAAAAAAATTCAACTTTGAATTAAATTCCGAATCCAACTTAGCAAATTGAGCACAAAGATTAACTGAAGCTACCAATACCTCAGGTTTACCAGGTGTCTTAGGGGTTGATTTGCGTCCCTTGAGAGAAACAACACAGCCCTGAGACGGTGCAATGAAATCGCTGAGATCTCCGATTCTAAGCGTCGGCGAGAACTTCTCCGACATCTTCAAAATTGCAGCTTGCTACTGTTCAATAGCTAAAGCTCCAAATTTATTGGAAAACCCAGAAGCAATAATCAGAATTTGAAAAAAAAAAAATTAGGGATTTTGTTCAGAGTTCCAAAGAGTAAATAAAAGAGTTTTGGCGGAAGCGAGGTTCGATAGGTCAAGGATGGTGACTTTACAGGAGCCAAAGCAACGGAGGATTTTGAGGACAAAGGTAAGGGAGTGTGTGTGGACCGCCGTTTGGGATGCTTGATACAGGGACCAATGAGAGACGTGGGTTCTGTGAGGAGACTGAAACAGGGTGCTGAGTTGGTCCAATTAGTTTGGGGGTTCCATGCTGTTTTGATGAGCCTGGCTGTACGTGTTCACTTGGAAGTTGTAGTGGCACGCGTCCGCCACGGTCCACTTGCAGTTGCAGACACAAAATTGGTTCCGCTCTCGCTAAAATACAACTACCAACATTTTCCCTAATCTTTGGAGCCATCACATGCTTTTGGTGCGGCGCTAATACATATACCTAATTTTTTTTTTTTGAACATGCAATACATATACCTAATTAATTTCACATTGCTGTGCAGGATCATATTATTTTAGGCTCATTATACTGCTTTACAAACTTGTACTAGCAATTTCACTTCTGTTGGGTTGGTAGCCCAGTAGTGCCCCTACATTAGCCCAAGGTTGCATGTTGGGCCAAGGAGGCCCACTACCATGGTGCAATGAGTGAGCCAATGAGAGATGGTGTTGAGGTAGTCACACATGGGTTATAAATGTCTCACACCTTTTACTCCAAAAGTAATAACTTCTAATCAAATCTCTCGCTATATTTTCTAGTTGAGAGTTTCTCTCTTTAAAATACATATATTATCATTGATTTAAATGTTGAAGTGTCTATCTCAAGAATACTTTTTTAGGCTTTGCAAGTATTGAGGTTGAACCAAGCCTAGATCCAATTTGTGACTTGATCCGAATAGTTCTTACTTGAACAACTCCTCCAATATTTAATTTATAATAATATGTATTAAAATTAATATTTATTTGTTATACTTTTTAAAGATTAAGAGAAAATTTATTTTAAAATTATATCATTTTAATAAACTACAACAAAAAATGATAAAAAAAATACTCTAATTTATATTTTAAAAATAAGTTATTTTAATTTTTTACAATAAAAATTTATTAAAATAACATAATTATGAAATAATTTTTTTCATAATCTTTAAGAGATTAAACAAATAGGTGCTATTTTTCATATGTATTTCACTTGTTTTATACAATGTATAAGTATTGTAATTATAAGAATAATCAATTCTTTTTTTGAACTATTACAACTGTGGAGAGGGGGAAAATTGAAACCAGCCCGTGGTTGGGGAATTGATGCGCCTCTCCTATGGGCCCAAGAGGCTGATCAATTATGGGAGTATCCGAATATGATAACAATGAGATAATAAGTAGATTGGTTGGGTTCATTTCTTATCTATAGTAATGAAGTTTAATTCATTTTAGTTGTCATAAAGAGATTTCATAAATTCCTTTGAAATTTAATGAAATTTTAACATGGTATGCATAAGCGTACTCAACTCTTACTACTTGGGTTAGGATAGTCGGTAATTTGAATTTCACCAATTACTTAAATATCTACATTTAACTTATAGGTTATAAGTACTTCTCCAAGTTCATGGGTTTATCTATTTCCATTCCCTTTTCCCTCAAATTGCTCTTGTTTAAAAAAAAAAAAAAAAGCCTACTCAAGAGTATCATTAAAAAAAAAAATTGGGATCGGCCACATCCTTTTTTTTATTTAAACTAATGTAATTACTAATTAGAGATGTTAGGGAAGGAGAATGGGAACCAAGGAGTATTGAACCCTAATCTGCTGGGTGGGCCCGAGGTTGGACATCCCACCACCTAC